TCGACAGGTACAGAATGCTAGAATGAGACCGGGTCCCTTCAAATGATGCCGATTCTGGTTCTGAGCTGCTCTTACATGGAGTGTGGCGCCAATGTCCTTCAGTTACATGGGTGAAGACAGTGATATACTCCTTACGTGCGCGATCGTGCATGAGTGCACGTTCTGATTGCGTAAATATGGTCACAGATGGCGAAAATTTCACTTAGTTGCTGCAATCGGGAAAACAGCAGCTTGGTGGATTGTTCGAGTGCAATCTAGGAGGAAAATAAGTGTTTACACGCACGCTGTTGTTCGTAAACAAACGGAGGGCAAGGCTGCAAGTTCCATTCTTAACGATGTCCCTGTGAAGTTGACAAACTCTAACAAGAAGTCTGACTGATGGCGAGTAGTATCGGTGGAATTTCGTGCAGCTTAACCCTCATCCTCCACAGAGCGCTACGCGGTCATTAGAACTTTGGATCAGACACAACCGCATAGAGAGTGGTTGGTTTATCATAGACGTTTACACCGCGGCCTGCCTTCCGAACTCTTTTAAGACGATTTGTACCCGGCTATTGTCCCGTCCGGTGAAGCAGCTTGGCTCATTAGGAAAGTGAGGGATAGGCTGCCAGTTGGAAACAGTATGGAGTTGACTAAGAGGCCATCGTTTCAGAAAATAAACAATCCGTGAATTCATTTATGGACAAAAAACTTGACGGATCGAGTGAGTTGGCTACAGGGTTTTAAAGCGGACAAAGTAGTCACCAACAAGATCTTGTTTAGCTAACGCACTAAATCAGTGTTGAGAGTCGATTAAAAGTCCTTGTTGCTTAATCTGACGAACTTGGTGGTTTGGAAGGGTGCTTTGTCATGACTGTCTTCATGCTTTTAGTGGCGAACAAATCAAATAATCGTTCGGCTGCAATGCCCTTTCATTGCATAGCTGCTGTGATACTCAAAGGAACCACGAGGGATGAGATACTGCCAGGTTGCTCCAGCTTAGGCGGGAGCGGTCGATGTGCTGGGGTTGAGTCCGAACCACGAGCTTTCTGTCATAACCACTGAGCTATATCGCGTTCTTCATATTTTACAATCACACAGATCGGTTTTTAAAAAGGGAATGGGGCATTTAATGGTATGTTAATCTCCACTGATCAACGCTCTTTCAGCCAGTTCAAGGAATTGATCCTGCTTCTTGATAGAGCAGGCAAACATTTTAGCTGCCTAATGAAATTAATTTTCAGAATCTGTTTGTTCCACGACATTTATGAGGGTTTTCTGTCAACTCCCCTGATATTGGCCGCGTTCGAATCAAACATGAACAGGCCAAGTAAGTAAGTGAGGTATGTTCATGGCACATGCAACGATGTGGTTAAGATTGAGGGGATGATACATGGACAAAATTTTGATGAAATCGAGCCCTGTACTATCATTGGGACATTACTAGGGGCTGAAAAACAAAGTCCGTAGGAAAAAGTGAACCATGCTACTAAATAAACAAGTGTGAAAATCGTTTGGGCAGAAGATTTCGAAGCTTAATTTCATACTACACCCTAACAACTGTGAACCAATCTTGCAGTCATATTGAAGTGGTTAAGATGTAAAGAAAGGCGTCATAATCAATACGCAAGGGTCGAGGCGAAATCATACCGAAAGATAGATGGGATGAAGATGTGGTGTGACCTTGTGTAAATGTTACTAACCAGAGAAATACTCGTAATTCAACTGTCACCCACGTTTTGCCTTGTTTAACGGTAAAGTGATTTTGTGCGCTAATATATCTAGATGTGTGGAATCCGTATTCACCAATCTAGCTAATAAGAGGCAAACTGCGACACTGCTGGTGGCGTTGGTCTAATGTGAATAGCATTTCAAGGCTGCAAACCTAATTACTGTTTTATCTGCCCTGAATGAGTCAAACGAAGCATCTGACGCCTGTCCCATGTCAAGCAGATAATCTACTTTACTGCCTCATTTCGACAGAAGCCGCTTTCTATTTGTTGATAATTCATGGCATTTTTCTATGGTTTGGACCTACTAACCTCCGCTGGTCTTCCCGTTCATCAGGCAAATACCACATTAGCATGAGGACAGTTGTTTTCCGTCATTGAAATCGATTATACATCTGCTTACCATAGTGTCAAATAAGGGCTTTTTTCCAAAGTGGACCAGTTCAACCGTGCGCTTGGACACTCCTGTAGTGAAATTTTAATTACATCAATACTACTCGCAACGCTACTGAAACGATCACAGATACTTAAAAGTTTCACTTTGCTTGGCGACATGCGAAAGAATTACGTGCGTTTAGGTTGTGGAGGCAAGTGAGGAGGACCAAAATCTCAAAAGGGGTGGTTGAAAATGAGGTGTTGGATCTGGATGGAAAGGACCCTACGCGACAGACGGGTGCTACCTTATCAGTGTAACCCATGGGGCGATTAGCTCATCTATCGTGAGCGACTACTTCTGTTCTGAAAACAATCGGGCTGATCTTGGAATTGCTAGTCCTGTTCTCCCTTGAATTCCACGTAAGGGCCGAGTGTCAAACAGTTGGCACTTCTGCGACTAGGTCTGCGATGCAGAGAGAAGTACGGTGCTGTCACATACACAGTGAGCAACGTATAGTTGCCCCCTTGCAAGCCTCGTGGGTCTGATTGTGAAAAAAATTTGTCTTGTGTAGTGGCTTATCAGATATAGATCTAACCTTTGCATCCATTGTGTAACTCAGCATCAATGCAGTAGAACGATAAAAATAATTTTGAAGAATTGTCGCCAAGTCTGATTCGGCGCACGAAAAATTGACCAGCCAACGAGATTAGTTGATGGCGACAACTGAATCACAAAGGCTACGAAGTAACTAAAATATCAAATAGGGTTCCGAGGTTTTTCTCGATCAATATTCACATTCTTGACCGGTTTTTGAATGGGTAAACTGTCTGTTATCGTGATAGACGCTTGAACCCGTTGGTTAAGTCATATCAGATTCGATTAATAACACCATAGACAATATCAGGATCTATGCTCGTGCTTCACTGCCGTACAACCGCGGTCGTGGAGCGAACAGGGAAGGGATCTGGCCCTGGCCTACTACGATTGTTCTAAAGTGTCTCCAAATGTTCAATCAGACAATCTGGACAGAATCTGACGGCATGAACGGCAGTGACACCACTTAACAGCCAATCACGCTACGTCTCACGCCATACACAGGGTCAGGACAGCCAAACGCTGAAAGATGAACCGCACCAGAGCCTCGCTTTCACATCTTTCTACAAAGTAACACGCTGTACTTTCCAGAGTTCGTGCTATCCTGAAGGAGACATTGGGTAGAAGACTCATCTCGGTAAGTGGCGATTAGACATGCGCAGCACGTGATTCGGTACTGTACTGATGTTTTTCGCAACTGAAGTGCCTAGTACACAGCCAAATGCCCGTTTTTAAAATACCTCGATACGAACTTGTTGATGTCACCAGAAACGCGAGACATCGGTGCTCGAGTCAAAGGCGTCAAATCATCCGCCCACAGAGGCTGTCTCTCGCATACAATAATTCAGTGTGGTACAAAGGGTCCATGATTGGCGGTCATAAGCAACTACCAGCGCGCACACGATCCTGGTCCACGCCATTGTACAGATTAGGGGTATTTCAATAGGAATAGCACTCCTAGCTTTGTTTACAGTAATACTTTAGGACTCTGTAGACTCAGAGACAGGGATGAACGCCGTACGACCCCCTGATGCATCTGTATGCTGACTGCAGCGGTACACTGCCATCGATCGGTGATCCAATATGTAGCGTAAGAATCCATAATCTTTCAGTGTTATTAGACTTTTAAACAATGGGTGGCTAGGTAGCGAAAATCACTTCCAGAGTCTAGTACTTTTAAATCCCAACTCCCATCGGGGACCTATTCGAGAAACTCATTGGTAGGGGAAGAGGTAGTGTTAACGACTAACAACCAGAACTTATTCTGAGAATAAACTACACGATCCCTCTGGCACGAATTAAGGAACATGTCAAAATGGGGTAACTATCTGGACAAAGCGGGAAACAAGGAAGCATTGAGCCAATGGTGATCCTGCATCAGAGCTCTTAACTTTCTGCCATATTGAAAAAAAACATGCAGTTGTCATCAGCGAACAGACTGAACCATCGCCTTCAGCACGCTGCTCTCATTCCCTTATCCTCCTTAGCCGTAGTAGCTGGTACCACTGCACTTCGGTGCACCGTCTGTGAGGTGAGGGATTGATTGACTGATTAATAATTTCGAAAACAGTTCGGCAGCGCTACGATACGTATATTAAGGTGGCGTTTCGCAAAAGTACACTTACACGCATGATAAAAACATGATATCAGCTGTTTGGAATGCGTCAAAAGCACCTCGTTTTGCCCCGTACAGAGGTGCTCATAACTGTGTCGTTCTCATGATGTCTTGCAGGCAAACCGAACTGCATTCAGTCTCTCTTCGATACAGTCCGAGCTAGCTTTTCATTTTGAAGATGTGAACCGAGTCATCTTCCTTTAACAGTAAGGGCAGTAAAGTAATCCGCTTTTAAGACTCTGTGCTGCTCATGCAAAGTTAGAGAGAACGTCCCTTGAAAAGAGCCAGAGAGTTCGAATCCGCTATGTGAACAGAACGGTTGTTGAGCCCCTCTAAGCTATCGCATCAGTAGCCAAACTAAACAAGTTACAGTGAACCTATTAAAGATTGGGCCCCCTGGTGAACCGACCACTTCCTCTTTACACACCGGAGCTACAGACAGCTCAGCGGTTATGAGAGCGCTTGGTGATCCAAGCCTAAATTCGGCCTTTTGACTGCTCACGTCTAGAATTGGTTGATATGATGCTTGATTCGGGTTGCATGGCATTAGCCATGGCATTACAACAGAAGAGTCATGATTTCACGTTCAGAAAGAGATCTTGCCTCTTTTTGCGAGGGGAGCATAGTATCCGATAACTTACGTGGGACGTCTTAGGTCACTTTAAACCGCCCTGGAGACTGAGGATGGGAAGCACGAAAGTAAGTCGTAAAAAGTCTTTAGTGCAGGGACAAATACGCCTCAAAATGTACAAAAGTGCCGAAAATATCCTCCGACACGTGCCTTAGGGAGATGGGTGGCGGGGAGAGGGTTGAAGCAAGTGTTATGGTCAAGTGAAAACAGTGGGAAAGCCCTGAAGATATATAATTAGATCTATTAAGGCTATTTTCTTTCCTGCCACTCAATTTCCTCATCAGAACGAAGAGAACTTATTGAAGACTCATAGGATAAATGTGGTGTTGGTGAACGTTTTTGGTCCTTATGCCTCTTCAAGCTTTTCTTCGATTTTTCCTTCTTATGTCTGCGCTTTTTCTCACGAGGTTTTGTCAAAGGTCCGGGTTCCGGACTTCCGGGTTCTGTATAGACAACTCGTGGCATGGGTAGTCTGGGGGCGGGTGCTTCTGGTGGTCGACTGGACTTCGTAAAAGACTCGGATAGGTGCGGAGGACCTGGTTTGTTCAAGTCCTCCCATCCGTCATGACCCCATCGATCCAACAGTTTTTGTCCATCACCATAGGGAATCCTACAAGAAGCCAGCTCTTCCAACTGTCGTTTCGCTTCCAGCCTAAGTTTGCGTTCATATGCGTCTAGAGCTTGTTGAGTAGGAGGGGGCAGCGAATCCCGTGCGTGGTGATGCTTGGACCTCTTGCGTTCTTTCTCCTCCTTTCGCCGATGCAGTATTTCGCGCCAGCAATGCTCTTCCTCGATAACCTGAGAGAAGTGTGTAGAGTAAAGGTTATTGAATTTCAGTGTACTGCAAGTAACCAAACTGTTCGGACTCTAGAGATGAAAAAGTCTCTCCAAACTTCTAAACTGACGCGATTCCGCTTCACATTGAAGAGACCTACGCTACTGTAATCAGAGATACACGCTACTTACTATCAGTATACACAACTTCATGAAGATACGAACGTGTGTGGCGATTTAGTTCTCATTGGAAGTTTCTACGACCTCATCAGCCAGGCAGCTTGTACTTCTAAATTAAGGGGATTGAAGCATGCTCACCATATTTGCAAAATATACTCATTTGCATGCCAATTCGGTTCCCACTGGAGACTCACCCAAGTCCCAACTCGATCTCTCGTTGATGACGTTCTTCAACCAAATATGCTGCACCAGGCCGCCTCATGTTTCACTTGGTACGCTACGCCAATATCACAATACATCGTATAGACGTAACACATGGCTCACAATGTTTCTGAAAACTTTTCATGCTTATCGCATGGTTCAATCGACCGATTCAAACCAAATAATTGTGCGACTTCTTGCGTGGGGTGGTGTCGCATCAAGACACTGCATAATGCGAAACGAATCTATCTGTGTAGCTAAGTGGGGAAACCATGGAACTTTTAGGCGACGGTACAATCAGAACTCGGGCAGCTAGACACTCACTAGCTCCTTTAATGAGTGCCCAACCTGCCAGACTGTCGTTCAGTGAATCAAAAGTAGCCGTCAAAACACCGTCTTCTATAAGCAGTACAGACAACTCTAAATGGCCACAGTTGGAGTAATTACCTACAGGATGAGACCACAGGGTTTTCACGCTTGATCATACAAGCGGTCGCATTTGGCTTTACACCATATCGGCTTGGTGTCTGGCTGAGATACGATCTCACCCAACCAGGCGGCGGCACGACCTAAAAAGCGCACAGTAATCTGGATTAGGACGGTCGATTGGAACAAACTACGGATTTTTGTGATATGTCATAGGCATGGCAAGATTGCAAAAGACCTTTAGTGAGGTAGTCAAATGAAGTAAATGATTACATACATACTCAAGTCCTCCAAACCACTTTCATGTGCATGTTAATGATGACAGGCGAACACCGCCAGGTAGACGGTCAGTGACCTACGGCCATCAGTAGGGTGGGTTTCGAATCAGGCTCGAAAGTAGGCACCATCGTCAAAGGAAATTCTTCATAGTTTTAGCGTAATAGTGAGAAAGAAGCAAAAATATCTTATACAAGCACTGGGAAGATACGATGAGACTCAATAGGAAAACAGGTCGATCTCATGCTAGCGGTTAGTGAAAGTACTACCGCAGTACAGGAGAAACAAGAATAAAAAACATTGATAGCTCAGCCGTGTCATATCTTCGGTACACGGCTGTCGTGCAGCTCAGAGAACAAATGAGGGCTGAGGTACTACCAGAGTGCCCAAGCTAGACAGAAGCAATAAAAAATCCAGGGTTGGGTTCCAGCGGTGGATCTTCCGATTAGTAGTTTCGCGCTCTAACCGCTGAGCAATCCCGAGCTCTGGACAGATGCAAGTAAAAAACGAACGATGTATACGGGCGACTACCCACAAGTATCCTAGAATTCGATCCTTAACCAGTCCATGTTATTTGACCAACAGATGTCATGACATCGGATATTCGATGAGGTTGTTTGCTATTGCACACAGACTGAACAATGTACAACAATTCGGCGTGGATCAGCCAGAGAGAAAGAAAACCACATGTGAAATTGTTGGAAATCTCCCGCTCTTGCAGGGAACAGCGAGTCCGAACAATGTGTCCATTTCAGCAGCTGGCAAGCACTGATCAAATAAATAGGGCCACAATAAAACTAGAGGTGAGCGCCCGGTAGGCTGTGTAACCCAAGATAGCTAGAGTTGTGTAACACCCTTTTGGTGTCAAGCCGCTATGTCACCCGAAGGAAGCACGAGGACTGAGGTACTACCAGGTCGCCCAAGCCTAGGCAGGAGCAGTCGAGGTGCCAGGGTTAGCTTCGAACCATGGACTTATTGGTCGGTAAGTTCGCGCCTCCATCACCGAGCTTTCTCGAGCTGTTTGTGTGCTACTGAAACAAGGGATGCAACACGGGAGCCAAAAGTCAAAGTGCACGAGGTCACTCACTGCTCTGTTGCATTAACAAGTCTAGATAAGGTTCCGCTGTTCAGTGAATTCGATGCGACACGTCACTTTTTTATACTTCAGGCACACAGGTAGCCAACAAAAACGTAATGAATACATACGTGAACTACGCAGCTGAAAATGTAGCCAGCTACTTTCTACAACCAACCTACACTGTTTAAGGATAAAAGTACCAATCACACGAAACAAACTTTGTTTGCTGTATTCGTTCTTGTGATGACTTACATGGGTGGTTGTTGACATTCAGCCTCAACTAACAGTTCTTGGTCGTAAGTAATCCGAGCGATAGGTCGACAACTCAGTTCAGCAGCTTAGAGTATTGGTAATTACCCAGACGAGCTGCCTAGCCATCCAGCTGAACCTGTTGTTTAACTTCCATGTTACTTATCGGGGTTAGGAAACTCGCATCCAATAACTCCAGCTATCCTGTATACTACTAAAGTAAACCATCATCGAGCAGAAAGACAAAATGAAAAACACAAGCAATAATACGGAATTCATGTTCGATGTGTTCGCCTAACGACTAATCTCTGGTAAAGGTCTGGGAAGCATTTTTGTTACTGGCCAGGAGTCCCAACTGCGGGGTCGCATACCGAAGATTTCCAACAATCCAAACGTAATTTGAAAGGCATCGATTTTACTCCCCGATTTCTCGCTCTAGACATCATCGGTCTGTAAGTTAGAATTGTCTACTGCCGAGCCGAACAATAACTCACATGAGGATTCAAGCTATTGGTGAAATACACACAGTTGAAAGCTGCCTTGGTGGTAACGGGGGCTCAACAGTAACTACCGTTTGCGGTATAAGTAGTATCATGTCGAACACAAGCTGGTTGTGTTCCAACACAAAAGACGTCATCTCTAGTGAACAAAAGGCAACATACCACCGAAAATGCTCTTTATTGTCTATTACCATTCTTCGAGGTATTTGCACAACCTGTAGACACACCCGATTATCCATAGGTTCATTCCACAGTTCCGGAGAACCTGCGATCAACGTACGACACGGACTGTATTGTGATAAATTAGTCCGCCGAAATGTATTACATATTACTGCATTTCAAGGTACGACTCGTGTGACCTTCTCAAACTGCACTGTACTAAAATTACATCGCTGTCCTTCTTCAGAAATGGTCCCTCTTCCTTGAGGTCAGACAACTATTGTAGCTGACCCTGGGTCGTTTTTGCATCACTGACAGTCCGATGCATACGCCAAACATCCCGGACCAAGCGACTCCAATGGATATGAATGTCGAGCTACCTGTTCATTTAGTGAAGGACTTCACATACTACCTGCTGAGTAACTGTTGGTTTTAGCTCGAGGTAGCTGTGGTTTAGGCGCGAACTTACTGACCAGGAGGGCCATAGTTTCATCCTATTCCGGAACCTCAGCTGCTCCCATCTGGGCTTGGACAACTTGGAAATATACCAGCTCTCACGTTTCCTTTAAATAGCATGACAGCTATGCACCGGAGGGTGTTACAACTGAACGATTACTGTCATTGGCTTCGAAACATTTACCAGCCGGATCACACCATGCTGATCACGTTTAATTTGACTCCTGGCTAAATTGCTAACATAAGTCTCTCACGGGCACCTGACAAACTATCTCACACTCAACATGTTCGTACGAGTTGAGAATTTCATCCCACACGGCAAGCCGAACGACTGAAGTATACAATGGGTTTATGAAGGAGTATACATTGATATCTCCGATACCGGCCCAAATGAAACTCGAGGGTTGCACATCCGATTGAGAGCAGTATAAAGACAACCGACAAAATCGAAAAAGCTCACAGGATCAAATACATACCCGGTTATGAGTAGTGGCATGTTTGACAAGATTTTGAAGAAGACGTTTATCCTGAAAGCGAGAAAGAAGGAGTCACAACGGAGAGTATAGCTCTTCGAACATGGGCTAGCTATGTACACAGGATCTGGATGCTACAAACTCTGGTCACTGATGAAGGAAAAACAACTCGGCTCAAGAGGGGAGCCGACCAAGTCAAGGTGAAACAAGAAGAGTCAAGTTAAGAACTGATGGTAATTGAGTGACCTAGCAGTATCACGGTTTCCGACAAGTCGGGAGTCTTAAGCTACTCACGCTAGCAGAAGGCCCCCAAAAAATATGGTTCAGTTACTTAGCCAGATCAACGGGTCTATTACAACCTCGAAGAACAACCACGTTCGGCTTCATTCAACTCCCGACGCCTTGTCACAGTTTCATTGCTGCGGGCTACAGCGACCGGAACTCGAATAGGTCAAGAAGGCTAACGCATTATGGTTCGATTATTAGTAGGCCTCCGTTAGGAGGCCAGCCGCCCCTAATGACCGAACTTCACGTCAGTTGGACGGATATGTCACGTGCGGATTATGGACAAAACGGAGTAAAAAGTAATCGTTCAGCAGTAGCACCCTTTCGGTGCCTAACTGCCATGCCACTCGAAGGTTACACGAGGGCTGGGATGCTGCCAGGTTGCCCAAACCTAGACAAGGGAAGTCGAGAGGCAGAGGTTGGATTCGAACCACGGACCTTTTGGTCAGTAAATCTGCGCTCTAACCACCTGGGCCATCTCGCCCCAAAACGTGACAAAACGGGGGCGTCAGAATTGATCATAATGTCAGCCAATCTGGATCAAGCATCTATAGTTCGACGCTTCTCGCACCCTCACGAAGATGTCAGCGCGACCTGTGATGATCTCATAAATACGGTTGTGATAATCTTCCTTTGTCTCCATCATGGGTTGTCTGAAGCTATCGTGCCTTTTGATACACTATAGTGGGTGGAGCAGGAAGCCAAGGCTCCACACAGAGTTGCACGACCGTGCAGAAGACACAACGATGTGATGTGGAAGCAAAGTCGCACAGTAAGGTGTTCCCCCAAGGCAACTAACATTTACAGATTCAAGGAAGCATAAGTTGCCTTCCCTTAAAAGAAAAGATGCGCTAGGAAACATCGATCCTAAAAATTCACACTCCGATTGCTAAATGACTGACCGCATACGCCGGTGTACTATTCACTACGGACGAAAAACAAACAAACATTACAATGAACCCGATGCGCCTCCAACCGAATCTGCTATGTGTAGTAGAATCAATAATCAGGCATGTGTCCATGTGTGTGTCTCCTGTAGTTAACGATGATAGCCAACGTGCGCAGCCTTCTAGTGACCTCATCCAGATAGCAAAGCAGGATTGTTTCTTTTGAAAACCATGTTGATTGGCCCCGAAGAATTGTTTGGAATTGAGATCAGTTTCCATTTTGAAGGCCAACAGGGTAACAGAAGTGAAACAACTGAGTCTACAATAGTACAAAGCATACTTACATACCCTCCTCATAAATTGATGTCACAGTTGCCAGTTTCCACCCGTAAAAAAGCACGGTCTTCTTCTAGGCAGCACGAACTTCCGGTAGGTGCACTCACGTTTTATCCAGAGGAACAAAACACAAAGCACTCGTGGAGTTAGTTGGTTCATAGACTTATTAGTTAGCGCGAAGCTCCACGTAAATAGAACCATTCATTCCGGATTGCTCAACTTGATTCTTATGCCATTGTGTAGGCTCGGTTATCAATTGACTCCCCAACAAGACCGACGCAGTGTCATTCACTGCAATGACTTCGACGGGCTTCAGTTGCTCAAAAATCGACCGGATTATCTGAAAAGCTACTGAGAGTTTACAGGAATGCTGATAACACAGATTAGTTGGACATTGAGACGGCGTGACGGTTTATTCATTGGACAGCGTGTGTGCCTTTAATACCAGGTTGGTCAATGGGTAAAAATCCGACCAACACAGTTCCCTGGTCCTCCGGAGGTTGGAAAATGTGCAGCAACTGGCTCCGTAAAAGGGCAGGCTTGTCAGACAGTCTTGCGCTAGTCATTGTTGCTTTGTAGAAAAGCTTTTGAGTCGAATGCTTTTGACTGGGGATCATAAGCGTCCCCCTGTCTAGGCCAGGGTACCCTGGCAGATTTCCAGCCAACGTCGTTACCACCATCGACAGCATGACATCGGTGTTCAACACCGGTGCTTCGGTGCCTTACAACCATGGTTTATTTGAAAGCTTTATTGTGGAGAACGGAATGAAGATAGGGAATAGACTTAGTGCTAGCTCATTACACTCACTATGAGGTACCTACATTCCCAGAAAATCATTCAGGCAATCTGGATAGAAACCGACAAACAAGAACGCCACTGACATCCGTTGGCAGCCGTATCCCGCAGCGTCTACAACTAGGGCGCAGTGGGGATCACGCGGTCCCCATCCTGGAAGGCAATTAGCACTAACAGCACCAGAAGGTTTCGTACCGTCACGAAGAGGCTGGACCTTATTGTGGTGTGGCGGTTTGTGTATCTCGAATAAACATTGAGCTATACTGGGGAGTGTCAGCGCGACACTCACAGAGTATCCCGTGTCAGGTTGATCAATGGGTAGAGGTCTGACGAACTCCTGGCTCTCCAGGCTGAGGGTTGAAACATGTATGTGTGCGTGTTCCGTAAAATTGACAATATGCCTGCACTTGCAGACCAACACCGCTGCGTTGCGGTTGGGCTTACGAGCCGAAGCGTTTGGTTGAGGACCATAATTGTCCTGTCAAGGTGTGGGTGCCCTGGAAGTATCCCAGTCCTCGTACAATTATGACATTTACAGCTAACAATAATATCATGCCACATCTGCTGTCGCGTGGTGCCATCAGACGGGTCGCCTTACTCGCTGCATACAGCAGGGCGGGTAAGCGAAAATATGCTACTGCTGGTGCCTCTCATCATCATCATCATCATCATCATCATCATCATCATCATCATCATCATCATCATCATCATCCTCCCGACGCCTTGTCACAGTTTCATTGCTGCGGGCTACAGCGACCGGAACTCGAATAGGTCAAGAAGGCTAACGCATTATGGTTCGATTATTGGTAGGCCTCCGTTAGGAGGCCAGCCGCCCCTAATGACCGAACTTCACGTCAGTTGGACGGATGTCACGTGCGGATTATGGACAAAACGGAGTAAAAAGTAATCGTTCAGCAGTAGCACCCTTTCGGTGCCTAACTGCCATGCCACTCGAAGGTTACACGAGGGCTGGGATGCTGCCAGGTTGCCCAAACCTAGACAAGGGAAGTCGAGAGGCAGAGGTTGGATTCGAACCACGGACCTTTTGGTCAGTAAATCTGCGCTCTAACCACCTGGGCCATCTCGCCCCAAAACGTGACAAAACGGGGGCGTCAGAATTGATCATAATGTCAGCCAATCTGGATCAAGCATCTATAGTTCGACGCTTCTCGCACCCTCACGAAGATGTCAGCGCGACCTGTGATGATCTCATAAATACGGTTGTGATAATCTTCCTTTGTCTCCATCATGGGTTGTCTGAAGCTATCGTGCCTTTTGATACACTATAGTGGGTGGAGCAGGAAGCCAAGGCTCCACACAGAGTTGCACGACCGTGCAGAAGACACAACGATGTGATGTGGAAGCAAAGTCGCACAGTAAGGTGTTCCCCCAAGGCAACTAACATTTACAGATTCAAGGAAGCATAAGTTGCCTTCCCTTAAAAGAAAAGATGCGCTAGGAAACATCGATCCTAAAAATTCACACTCCGATTGCTAAATGACTGACCGCATACGCCGGTGTACTATTCACTACGGACGAAAAACAAACAAACATTACAATGAACCCGATGCGCCTCCAACCGAATCTGCTATGTGTAGTAGAATCAATAATCAGGCATGTGTCCATGTGTGTGTCTCCTGTAGTTAACGATGATAGCCAACGTGCGCAGCCTTCTAGTGACCTCATCCAGATAGCAAAGCAGGATTGTTTCTTTTGAAAACCATGTTGATTGGCCCCGAAGAATTGTTTGGAATTGAGATCAGTTTCCATTTTGAAGGCCAACAGGGTAACAGAAGTGAAACAACTGAGTCTACAATAGTACAAAGCATACTTACATACCCTCCTCATAAATTGATGTCACAGTTGCCAGTTTCCACCCGTAAAAAAGCACGGTCTTCTTCTAGGCAGCACGAACTTCCGGTAGGTGCACTCACGTTTTATCCAGAGGAACAAAACACAAAGCACTCGTGGAGTTAGTTGGTTCATAGACTTATTAGTTAGCGCGAAGCTCCACGTAAATAGAACCATTCATTCCGGATTGCTCAACTTGATTCTTATGCCATTGTGTAGGCTCGGTTATCAATTGACTCCCCAACAAGACCGACGCAGTGTCATTCACTGCAATGACTTCGACGGGCTTCAGTTGCTCAAAAATCGACCGGATTATCTGAAAAGCTACTGAGAGTTTACAGGAATGCTGATAACACAGATTAGTTGGACATTGAGACGGCGTGACGGTTTATTCATTGGACAGCGTGTGTGCCTTTAATACCAGGTTGGTCAATGGGTAAAAATCCGACCAACACAGTTCCCTGGTCCTCCGGAGGTTGGAAAATGTGCAGCAACTGGCTCCGTAAAAGGGCAGGCTTGTCAGACAGTCTTGCGCTAGTCATTGTTGCTTTGTAGAAAAGCTTTTGAGTCGAATGCTTTTGACTGGGGATCATAAGCGTCCCCCTGTCTAGGCCAGGGTACCCTGGCAGATTTCCAGCCAACGTCGTTACCACCATCGACAGCATGACATCGGTGTTCAACACCGGTGCTTCGGTGCCTTACAACCATGGTTTATTTGAAAGCTTTATTGTGGAGAACGGAATGAAGATAGGGAATAGACTTAGTGCTAGCTCATTACACTCACTATGAGGTACCTACATTCCCAGAAAATCATTCAGGCAATCTGGATAGAAACCGACAAACAAGAACGCCACTGACATCCGTTGGCAGCCGTATCCCGCAGCGTCTACAACTAGGGCGCAGTGGGGATCACGCGGTCCCCATCCTGGAAGGCAATTAGCACTAACAGCACCAGAAGGTTTCGTACCGTCACGAAGAGGCTGGACCTTATTGTGGTGTGGCGGTTTGTGTATCTCGAATAAACATTGAGCTATACTGGGGAGTGTCAGCGCGACACTCACAGAGTATCCCGTGCCAGGTTGATCAATGGGTAGAGGTCTGACGAACTCCTGGCTCTCCAGGCTGAGGGTTGAAACATGTGTGGCAACGTGTTCCGTAAAATTGACAATATGCCTGCCCTTGCAGACCAACACCGCTGCTTCGAACATGGGCTAGCTATGTACACAGGATCTGGATGCTACAAACTCTGGTCACTGATGAAGGAAAAACAACTCGGCTCAAGAGGGGAGCCGACCAAGTCAAGGTGAAACAAGAAGAGTCAAGTTAAGAACTGATGGTAATTGAGTGACCTAGCAGTATCACGGTTTCCGACAAGTCGGGAGTCTTAAGCTACTCACGCTAGCAGAAGGCCCCCAAAAAATATGGTTCAGTTACTTAGCCAGATCAACGGGTCTATTACAACCTCGAAGAACAACCACGTTCGGCTTCATTCAACTCCCGACGCCTTGTCACAGTTTCATTGCTGCGGGCTACAGCGACCGGAACTCGAATAGGTCAAGAAGGCTAACGCATTATGGTTCGATTATTGGTAGGCCTCCGTTAGGAGGCCAGCCGCCCCTAATGACCGAACTTCACGTCAGTTGGACGGATGT